TGAACTCGCCTACACTCGTAATATACACGCATTACTTGTAACAAGCTCGCGCTGCACTCTTCATAAGGTGGCGAGTTGCTACGAGTATATTGCGAGTGTTAAACAAGTTCACCTCGAGCTACAACGAATCAGCAAAAATTGTGAACATGTTCAAAATTTTCACTGATTCGTTGTTACTCGAGGTGAATTCGTTGTTACTCGAGGTGAACTCGCTTACACTCGTAATATATTCGCATTACTCGTAACAAGCTCGCGCTGTATTCGTCATAAGGTGGCTATAGTTGCTACGAGTTATGAGTGCAGCGCGAGCTTGTTACGAGTAATGCGAGAATATTACGAGTGTAGGCGAGTTTACCTCGAAATACAACGAATCGGAGAATTTTTTTTGAACATGTTCAAAATTTAGGAACTGATCGCGACTTCGAGGAGAGTCTTGGAATGTTGTAAAGAGTTACGCTAAGCCATACCGAATTGTTCGCGAGTTATTGCGAGTGCCTCTTTGAGGCAACTCACCACAACTCGCCATAACTCGCTAATACAACTCGGCTAAGTGGGAGCCCTGCTTTAAAAGACCGTCACTCCATGTTTTCGCTTGGGTCTTCCCTTTCTTCGTGTTACTTCAAAGGAACCTTGAATGATAATTTTAATATCAAAACGTATTCGTATGTGAAAGAAACGAGTTTGGTTTTCCCCTTTTGCACTACCTTATATTTTGCAATACCTAGGTATTTTGTTTGGTTTGTGTGGTTTTATTCTTCCTCTTTCTTCTTCACTTTCCTTTCCGTTCATCTACACCTTTTTTATTTTGTTCTTCTACTTCCTCTTCTTTTTCGTTTTCTTCTTCTTCTTCTTCTTCTTCTTCTTCTTCTTCTTCTTGTTCTTCTTTTTCTTCTTGTTCTTGTTGTTCTTGTTGTTCTTCTTCTTAATCTTCTTGTTGTTCTTGTTCTTCTTCTTCTTGTTGTTCTTGTTCTTCTTCTTCTTCTTGTTCTTCTTCTTCTCATAATTCTTTGTTTTTCTTCTCCTCTTTCTTCTCCTTCTTATTCTCCTTCTTCTTCTTCTTCTTCTCCTTCTTCTCCTTCGTCTTCTCCTTCGTCTTCTTCTTTTTCTTCTACTTCTTCTCTTTCTTCTGTTTCCTCATTGTTCTTCCTCTTCTCCTTTTTATTTTCCTTCTTATTCTGTTCCAATACTTTTTCTTTTTCTTTTTGTTCTTATTCTTTTTACTTGGCAAATAGCGGTGACTGGCTCATAGCCGGGTGGCGAACTGTTTAGCCATTTCAGTCAAATATACAGTGCAAACGACTAGAGACGGAGTCTAGCATTACCCTTAGCAGTTATATTGGGTTGCTGGAGCTGTACATGTGTATACTCGTTATTTGTTTCGGGTTAAATCTATCCTCTTCTCTTTCACTATGTATTTCTGTGTTCTCCTTCACTCTATCCTCTTCTCTTTTTCTCCTTCGTTAATTTCTTTGTTTTTCCTTCAACTATCCCCCATTCTCTTTCCTTATGTATTTATGTTGTTCTCCTTTATTCTAACCTCTTCTCTTTTGTTTTAGGTATTTCTTTGTTTCTCCTTCAATCTATTCTTTTCTCCTTCGTCATCTATTTCTTTGTTTTGATACATTCCCTTATTTCCCCTTTCCTTAGTCTATATTTGATCCTCTTAGCTCTTCAATTATGTATTTTTATGTTCTTCCTTTGACTTATCCTCTTCTCTTTCCTAATGTATTTCTATGTTTTTCCTTCTCCATATCCTCTCCACTATCCTTGTTTTCCCCTTTCTATCATTTTCCCTTCCCTGGGTGTACGTGCGTGCGCTGACAACCTAGACTCTTTCACCAGAGCACTTCTTGGAATTTTTTCGCGAAAATGGCTAAACAGTTGTGTAAAAAAAATATGCGCAGCCGGGTGAAACACGTTTAATCTGAATACACCAGACAGTTCAAGGAAACTATTTCCTTTCTTCTCTCGAGAGCTATTAATGCCACATGCGTTAATCTGATATTTCGATGAGATTATCCAGGAGCAATGCATTTCAAGAGAGAAAAATTAGCATATACATTCCTATTATACTTCTTTCTTTATCTTACTATAATTACTATTATTATTAACATGATTATTATTGTTATTGTTGTTATATTATCCATATTAGTTTTACTTTTGATATTGTCATTTCTCTAATAATGCTATTTAATCACCATTATTCAGTTTCTTTACTTCTTCTACAAATTATCATGGATCTCTTAGCCTATAATTTTCTTTCCCCTTCCCCTTTTCACTTTCGCTGGGTTTGATTTAACGATGCATGGAAAAGCAGCAAATGTTAATCATCGTTTATTAAATACACATGTATTCGGTATAATCATTCGTGAACTATTCATTTTCAGGTTAAACGAAATGAAACTCCTTTTTTATATTAAAAAGTCATATACAAATTACATATTAATGAACTTCACGAAAATCCTTGTAAACTAAGTACTGTATATAGTTCTGTTCTATAACGAAAAGGCTTTACGTGGTAGCATAATTTCTAGTTACAACAATGCATTGTGAATACGTGTTAAGAATTCACAATTAAGCCTATATTAAAAACAGGACATAATTTTGCTTGTTTCAACTATCTTCCCACGGTTTTAGCTCGCTTATTGTTTACATTAAACGTTTAACAATCGCTAGTTTTACAAGGCTGACTACTTGTCTCTTTCTGAAATATATTTTGATTCAATGTCAGATGAACCCACATTTCAATGTCACCGTTTAACTCTGCCTACCCCCCCCCCCCCCCAACCAACAAAAAAAGAAGGGGGGTAGGGAGAAGAAACAAAATGGGATAAGGGCTTTATAGCATTGCGTTATATTCAGTACTAGCGTCAGTTCCTGACGTAGGGGTGCGTTAGAGACTGACCTTTCTCCGTGTGAGGGTGACCTGGAGAAACAAATGAAACAAATGAATAAATTAAATTAAATGAATAAATTAATAAACATATGCATACACATGAAATAACAAATATTTATATGGGCTGTCACTTAGCCACGCTATAGCCATTTGAATAATGTTTAGAAGAAGAACAACAAAACAACACCAACAACAACAAGATAGGAAGAAGTAGAAGAGGAACAGAAGAAGGGGAGAAAATAAGAAATCGTTAGAAATTAAGCTTCATATTTAATTTAAATCAGAATTAAACAGTTGGGCTTTACTGGATACACGTCGGGGAAAAGATAGAATCGTTAGCAATAAAACACAAAGTACACATATAACGTTGAAACCTTGAAATAAGGCATGAGCTGTCACTTTTAACCACTTTGGACAGCGTCACTTTGTTATTCAACGGTAAAACGGATATCCAACGGATGTCCATTGGATAATAGTCGGTGAAGGGAGCCGCTGTAATCGGGTTTCCAATAGACAATAGTCTGACAGCAATATAAAAAAGATTATCTAGAAAAAAAAGTGCAGTTTTTAGTCCATTGTAGCAGTCATGGAACTACATACCTGTTGATACTTTAGTGCGTGCATTGGATTCGTGTGAAGTTCTAAGTAAGTTCTCGACAAAACCCCCGATTGTTTTTTTTGTATTGTTTGTTTATGGCCATCCTAATTCCTCTCATACCATTTTGTTAAATTTGTACTGAATTATACTGTTGTTGGTTCTTAACTCGGACATATTTGTTTCATTTATGTACCTATGAATGTTTTATGTATTTGCTGGAATTTAGAGAAACGAATTGAACTAAATTAAATTGAATTGAGGTAATATCCCGTGTGAGTCAAAAAAAAGTTTAAACCTAGAAAATTGCTAATTTTGTGTAAAATCATTTATGAACAGTAAACCATTATACATTTTATGAAAGAGTGTTTAATCCCAAATCATTTGGTACCATTTTTGTGTGGTATGTGTTCACGCTTGGATGAATAGGAGGCATTGTTTGCGAGAGTGCAAAAATCGACTTGCGCCAGAGTGATGCCTTCAGTATGTATTATGTTGGGCTTAGCGGAGTGAGAGAATGGATTGAAAGTGTCAAATGAAATGCATTGCATATGTTTTTTGCAAAGGGCAAAGTCACACACACCCACACACACGCGCACAAATGTTCATTGATATTTGATATTCGATATTTGATATGTGTGGCATGATTAATTTTGTTAGGGGTGTTATTTTGGATCTGCAAAGACCGAATTAATACCCAAATCCCAATTGTTTTATTCAAACATCACACAGGCAACTTTGGCGCAATTAGATTTTTGCACTCTCGCAAACAATGTCTCCTGTTCATTCAAGCGTGAACACATACCACACAAAAATGCTACCAAATGATTTGGGATAAAACACTCGTTCATAAAACATATAACAGTTTAATGTCCATCGATGATTCTTTAAATAATTAGCAATTTTCTAGGTGCAAACTCTTTTTTTTCACTCTGTACATTGTCTGTGTAGAAGGCCATTAGTCGGGTTTCAATAGACAGTGGTCTGAGTGCGATATTAAAAAGATTAGATAGACACCAAAAGGGCATTTTTAAGGAAGCAATAATTACAGAATTTCAGACAGATATAGGTGATAATACATTTTCTAAGACGCACATATACAAAATAAACACAAATAAAATACTAATACTTTAGTGGTTAGTAAATTTGTCAATGTTATAACTTGCGAAATTAATCTTGATTGTTGTCTTCTTCAGGTATCCCCCATCTCTCTCTCTCTCTCTCTCTAACTATCTATATCTCTCTCTCTCTCTCTCTCTCTCTCTCTCTCCATCTTTATCTCTCACTGTCTCTTTCTCTCTCTCTCTCTCTCTCCGTCTTTCTCTCTCTCTCTCTCTCTCTCTCACTGTCTCTTTCTCTCTCTCCCCTCTCTCTCCCCCATCTCTCTCTCTGTCTGTACCCCATCTATCTAACGATCTATTTATCTATGATCTTTTATCTATCTGTTTATGTATATTCCATTATGCCATTGTAACAGATTTTTCTTTTTCTTCCTTCTTTCATACACAGATGCAGATGCTCTCCACTATCATCAACATCGTCGGCTAATCGTTTCTCTCTGAGCAAAGACCCTTCAATTTTGATGAACTCTTGAATGAACTATCTCAACATCATGAAGTTTCTTCTAGCGGTACTGTGCATCTACACGATGGCGGTCCATGGTGTGACGTCACAATACTTGGGAAAAACTGACGAGCGCGCGGCCATCCCTCCCCCGGACGACCCGGGTCACAACACCCATCAGGAGGCGGTCATCTTCTCCTGCCTAGCCGTCGTCGTCGTCTTCGCCGTACTTTGCACGCTCATCCTCTGGTTCGTCGTCGAGCGAAATAAGAGCGATATCCGACGCCTCGACCAGCTCATCCCCGAGATCGCCGAGAGGATGAGGAAGGAGACGATCACCGTGAACGGGACGCTGATGTCGGGAACGTTGACGGCGTCGCACGAGTTCGAAGCCGAGTTTCTGACAAATGAGGAGGTGCAACTGACGTCGTATAGGAGGCAGCAGGAAGATGATGTGACAGCCGAAGCTAGCGCACCACCTGCCGAACCTGCAAACGGTGATGTACCACGAGATCACGAGGGAGACCACGGGGTTGATGCTAATGACGGGGTACGAACCGATGCGGTAACTGATGATAACCAAAACGACGTTGGAAGACACAGTCAGCGGCGCGAGAGAAGCGAACGACACAACGAACATCGCATTGAACATCACAACGAACGTCACAATGAACGGAATGACGATGGCAGTCACGAACGGCGCCCACACCATCACAAGTCCTACGAGCGACATTCGCATGACCGTCATTCAACGCCACACGATTATACCGAAGTCGCTCTGCGTCACAACCGCTCCCGTCCGCCGCCGCCTTCGTACCGCCACACCTACGATAACACGTACGACAACCCGGTCATGTCAATGCAGGACGAGCGGGATTTTCGACGCGAACGCAGGAACGGCCCGACGCCGACGCCCGCACCTAAACCTGCCAAGCGTTCAACACGTCCAGTATCTGCTTATGAGGCCTCCGGAAGTGAATACCCGGGGGAGGCACCTAGGCCAATCTCTATCATAGGCATTATGGGGGATGAAGATGGGAGAAGACCAACACGACATGGACATGGGCGTAGATATAAATCACTGCTGTATGAGAGTCATGTTTAATTTACGCATTCTATCTATGCATATACTGCTTACGTTTAACAAGTACGTTTTCCTACTTTATACGATGCATATCATAGCGCGTTGAGAGAGATAGTTGTGACACACTTATCATCGCGTATACGCGAGATGGGTCATTGTGCTCAAAATAATCTCCTCCCAAGTACAATCTCTATGACTGGGAACTATTCTATAGCTTCAAGAAGTTCCCGACAAATCAGAAACAACTTCTGGTGACGTCCCTATCTCTCTCAAGTAGATACGACATGATGCATATGTACATTATCATAAGTGTTGTATTATTATCATCATAGTCATTAGTCTTGCCACTCTTACAAATGTTAACACTAAATCACATATTTATTTTGTTATATACGGTATGTCTATTGAAGCATCCCATTTTTTTCTTCTCGATACTATAGATTTGGGCAAAATAAAATATTTGTTATAAGACGTCGATATCCCACAAATGCATTTCTCTTGCTTTTAAGGAGTGGATTGGAAAGGGGAGGTTCCAATAGAAATCATGGCATATTTTTCGTCAAGCGAATCAAACGTATTGACCAATAATATTAAAGAAAAGTTAGCGTCTTGCCAAAGCGCGGAGAAAAGTTCGTTAATGACACACAGGTGTGTATTGTTTTTCATATTTATGTGAAAACGAGTAGAAAGAAAGTTTATGGTGCTATCAAAAGAAAGGGAGTTCCATCCTGAATTAATATAGTATTAATACATTTTTTTTTAATTCAGCGCATAATACAGAGATGTCTTTATGCGCTAAAAAGATACTAGTTTAAATCAACTGAAATAATATACAGTGCGTCCCAGAAAAAACGAAACCGAAAACTATCGATGTTTTATCATACCTTAGTCACATTTATAATTAATAAATGACACATATTTGGAAAGCTTAGATCTTCCTCTTTCATTTGATGCAACTCACATGGAGCATATTTCTCTTTGAAATTCAAATACCGTCCGCCAAATGAATTTTGGGTTTCCTCTCTTCAAATTCATTTAAATCACCCATGCGTAAAATATGCATTATATGAGTTGCATCAAATGAAAGAGGAGGGACTAAGCTTTCCAAATATGTGTCATTTATTAATTATAATTGTGATTAAATTATGATAAAACATTGATAATTCTCGGTTTCGTTTTTTCTGGGACGCACTGTATTTTGTTTATAGTAAATAAAATGGAAAATTTGCGGCATAATAGAATAAAGATATGTGGTATAGTATTTTCAATGAGCAATGAGTTCTTGCTCACGGTCGAATTGCAATACGAAAATGTATAATTATTGTTCGATGTTACAATTTTCCGTTTTTGATCATTTGGTTTGCCGATGCCCCCCTTCCCTTTATTTAGTTCATGTTTGTTTCTTTTTGTTTCATGTTTGCTTGTTTGTTTGTGTTTGTCCATAGTCAAGGTATGACACAGGAAAACGATGGGATGGCGTATAAAACATTTGGATTGTATTTTCTTAAAGTTTTCATTTGTCTTGTTTTCTTTGTAAAGTCAAACCTGTCTACAGCGACCGCCCAAGGGAAACACAAAAAGTGGTCTTTGTAGACAGGTGGTCTTAGGTTCCTGTAGTACATGTTTCAATGAATGAGAAATCATTTTCAATGGAGACAAAAATGTGCTTGTTGTTGACAGGTGGTCTTAGTAGACAGGTGGTCTTTGTAGACAGGTGGTCACTAAAGCAGGTTTGACTGTATTACGAATCAGACACAATTTCGGAAAATCGAGTACAAATAAATAATCGGAAAAAGAATAAAGCTCAAGGGATGTAGTGTCCCTTATAGTTTAATCTTTGGCAATGTATTACTTACTTGCTGTTTTTTTTTTCTCTCATCGCTGTGAAAAAATGGTTTTACCACTTGGAAGGTATTTCTACACGACTAATTTTTAAAGGGATTTTAAGGATAACTGACCCATAGCATTATTTATTTAAAAAAAAATATATAGCAATCTCGGTTTCAAAACTTGTGTCTTGACTGATTGATGCAATACATTAATGTGAATATTGATAAGTAGGCATATTACTTATTCACATGATCCCATTCATATGTTATCACTCTAAATTCAACCAATTAATATTGAACATATTTAGCTTAATGATGACAAACCACGAAAATGGTTAAATAATAATAAGCGTATCTTTTATCACTGTATGTGTTTAACATGGCAATTTTAAATGATTATGGAATCCTTACGAAATTCTAATGGATACCCCCCCCCCCCCCCATATATGAACAAATGTTTTTGGTGTTGTTTCTATTGGTGACACAAATAATTTTCATATGAAATATAGAGACATTTGCAATTTTTGACATTTTGTTTCAGAACGATTAATGGCATCACTACAAGTTATTATGTAGCGCCATCTCCCGGCACATTCGTGTCGAAAGGCATGATCAACAGAAATGTATTTTTGCAATAAATTGTTTTGTATCATTCTAATTGAATCATGTTTTGTAATTTCCTCTTTCTATTTTTGTTGTCGATGCTGATTTCGTTTATAGATGATTAAAAGGATTATTAACAGTTCCTTAAGTTATTATTCTGCCCCTTTTCTGCATCTTCTTTAATTTCTGCTTCTTGTTATCTTTCTCTCATTCTTTCTCACGTTTCTGCCTCTGTCTACCTCTCAACCCTTACCGCTCTTTCTCTCGTCCTCTCTCTCTCTCCCTCTTCCTCTGTTTTTATCATATCCCCTGTCCCTGTCTCTTCAACCCTATACCCTTCTTTTTTGTCTTCTCATCTTAATATCTTTTTTTACTCCGGAAGCTACGAGTTGAAAAGAGTGCATGACGAGTTTTCCACGATTATCGCGAGTTAACTACGAGTTGTTCCGAGTTTGACCGAGGTGCATCTTCATGAATTCTCAAGAGCTTGAATTCTTGTTAAATGTCTGGAGAAAAAAAATGAGAGCTACTGCAACCTCACGCGAATTGCGTCGAGTTGCGAAGAGTAATTGTGAATAGTTGTCCCGAGTTGCCGCAAGTAACGTTGAGTCATCCCGAGTTAAAGCCCCACTGTCCTACTTGTAAGCTACTTGCTCCCTCTATATAGAAAACTTCCCCAATCGGTGCCTGTTGGTTCCCCGTGGTCCTCTTTTTCTTATGTTAGTTGAGAGCTGAGTTAATGAGATAGCCACCTGTCAGTGACCTTGCTGTTGGTCTAATCCCTTCTGGACCAGTAGTATTGACGGTCTTTAAATGAAGAGTTATCGCGAGTACCCCTAAAAGTCAACTCGCCACTACTCGTACTTCCAACTCGCCTATGTGTGAACGTATATAGCATAAGTGGGGCAGGTCTCATTGCTGTTGTGGTGGATGTCAAAATTAATTAAATAGACCAGGGGGTGTTTCACAAAGACTAAGATCGACTTTAAGTAG